AAGCAAGAAGCTCGGAGAACTCCTGAGAAGCTTTGAGCACCGCAATTGCTTGTTGCGCTGCATCCGCAAACGACACCTCTACTTGGTTATACTCGACTTCAGCTGGTCACACTTTGATTGGAGATCGATCATGGCTCTCTTATCCTCTTCATTGCATGAGACAAGTATCCTCAAGGCTGCATCCGCTCCATCTGCATGCTGCCGAGCCTAGGTAGCCTAAAGATGGGCTTAATCAGCTTGACGTTGGAGCTCCGTATGCTGATCTTTCATAGCACGGAGCAATGCGGCCGGATCTGTCAGTCCCTGCAGGGAAAAAAGATCAGATGACATGGAAAATGGCTTATCATCTCTCTTTGCAGCCAAGGCAGCAAGTTCGCTTCTCCGACCTGGCACATCTGCAAAGAAATGAACTAGGTGAATAGGGATCCAATAAGTAGGGTTATTTCCCTTACCTACCCTAAGAAGCAGACTACACTTTTGCTCCTCTTAGCAAGTAGCTCCTCACTGGAGGAGGAGGAATTAATTGCGCTTCTCCTTAGCACCATCGGAACCTGAGTGAGATATCGGGGGACAAGATTTAGCATCTTCCTTCGTAGCCAGGTTAGCAAGTTCACTTCTCTGGCCCACCGTATCTGGAAGGAAATGAACGAAGTAAGCCTGGTACCCACTAACGGGATTATTCCTCTTGCCCGTCTTAGGAAGCAGCGTATACCTTTGCTCCTCCCAGCAGGTGGTACTTTGTGGAGCAGGGAAGCTGCATGCTTCTCCCCAGCATCAGGAAGGGAAGCTACATGATTCTCCCGACTGGCTGCATCTGCAAGAAAACAAACGAAGTAAGCTGGAGTTTCACGGGTAGGGGTGCCTTCCCTAACCCGACCGGAGAAGCGGTTCATACCTTTGCTCTTCCTAGCAAGTTTCTCTTCACGAGGCGGGGAAGCTGCGTGTTTTCCTACAACACTGGATGGAAAAGCCCTTCGCTTCTGTCCAACATTAAATGGGCCAACATCAGATATGGAAAGCCGAGGATTAGTGTCCTGCACTGCGACAGGAGCAGCAAGGGGCGCCTTCCCTGCCCGTAGTATCTGTGATAAAGAATAAGCAGCAGTGAGCAAGGAGGAATATTTTAGAATAATGGGGGATTTTCTAAGTACGAAACTCACCCAGATGTGAGGTGATCGGGAAAGGACTCCCCTGGAACAGAACATCGATCTCTCTCTGAAGATCGGAAGCGATGGAAACAGATTTATACTTGTGCATCCGGATACCCCAGGTGACCGTGATGGGGGACACCACAGGAGCAAACGCCCGAACCCATTTTCTTTGCCACCTATTGTTATTATCGGGGTGTGGGCCGAACAACTTATGAGCTTGTGCTTGGTGGATGCCTATAAATAGGCCATCACCCCCATCATCGTCTACGTCAGCACCGGCTCAACACCATCAATCCCATTTCAAGATCGGTCAGATCATTCTTCGGTTGGATGATGATCGCTGCTTTGGATTCATCACGACCATACTAAATGTCGTTGTCCCGATTCTACAATCGAGCTAACCCGCCGTCCTCTAGGATAACGACGATTTCTTCATCACAAGCCTGATCTTAACCACTCCTTTAGCAAATGGAAGACCTTTGTAGATAACTTTCATGCTTTGGCTGGGATGCAGGGCAATCCATACTTCTGTTGGTTTGGTCTTGTCCCTCTGATGACGATCGGCTTCGTGCCTTTACTCTTCCAAGTGATATGGTGCAGACGGGGAAATTATTTGCTTCTCCTCAGCATCAGGCAGAGAAGCTCTTAGCATCTCCCGACATTAAGAAGGGAAGGTGCATGCTTCTCTCCGACTTCATGCAGAGAAGCTGAGAATCTTCCCGATATCATGCAAAGAAGCTGGGCATCTCACGGACATCGGGCGGAGAAACTCTTAGCATCTCCCGTCATCAGGCAGGGAAGGTGCGTGCCTCTCCCCAGTATCAGGCTTTGAAGCTCCAAGCATCTCTTCGACATCATGTGGAGAATTTGTGTGCTTCTCCCCGTCATTAGATAGACTTGCATCGGATGTCAAAGGTCGAGACTTAGCATCTTTCGTCGCATCCAAGGTAGCAAATGCGCTTCTCCGACCATCCATACCTACGAGGAAACGAAGGTCAGGGCAGCAAGTGCACTTCTCCGACCTACCGTACCTGTGAGGAAACGAACAGAGTAAGCGAGGATTCTGCCGGTTGAGTTATCTCCCTTTACCTGGCCTAAGGAGCAGTTTATACATTTGCTCTTCTTGGAAAGCCGCTCTTCGCAAAGCAGGGAAGCTTCTCTCTTTTCCCCAGCACCAGGCGGAGAAGCTCCGGGCTTCTTCCCTGCCTAAAACAAACCTTCATCTGACTTTGAAGGCCAAAACTTAGTATCTTGCATTGCAGCTAAAGCAGCGAGAGCACCTCTTTTACCTGCCATGTCTCTAACAGGTAATAATAGCAATCAATAGGGACTACTTATCATGGCAGACTACTCACTGCATCTATCTCGAGAACATCAGACAAGCACTGCTCACAAGTGAAGACCGGTCTTTGCTATCCCCTCAGCAGAGGGCGACCGTTGCAGCTACACACAATGGCTTAAGAGCTTACTCTTTAGCTCTATTTTGGGTGCATTCAAAGAAGAGATCTCTCCACCGGAACAAGACCTTGGGCTGCTAATCGGACAAACAAGACCCCAGGCTGCTGATCGGAAGAACAGGACCTCGGGAGGCTAATCAGATAAACAAGACCTAAAACTGCTACCCAGACGAAGGAAGTCTTATCCTCTCGCAAGCAGTTGGGATCAATGTGCACAGATGTGCCCTTTCCCGAGCATACCTCGGCTCGCCATTCCCGGCAAACAAGTATGTGACTGGCCGCTCCTGGTCATACCTTGGCTCGGCATCACCAGCAAACAATTTTGCGAGTAGTCTCTCCCAAGCGTGCCTTGGCTCGACCACCACTACTGGAAAACAGACGAGCAACTGGCCTTCCCGGAACATATCTCGGCTTACCAGTAAAGCAGACGCTCAATCAAGAACCAACGAGACTGACCTTCCTCTGTTTTATTTTGAGGTACCGGTGTACTCTTTTTCCTTCACTAGGATTTTTTCCCCACCGGGTTTTTTCCTAGTAAGGTTTTAACGAGGCATCCCCTCATCATGAACAAAGGAAGAGGTCTTCCCGGTTGGAGCAAAGAAGACCCCGGGCAGCTGGCCTGATAACCAGGACCCCGAGATGCTACCCAGACAGGGAGGGTCTCATCCATGCGCAACATTATGGGATCACAACAGACGGTTACATGACTAACCTTTCCGGGCACACCGCAGATCGTCATCATCAACGATCATATGTGTAACTAGCTAGCTAGCTTGGCAACTGGGCCGATTTCAAAGCAGCTCAACTACTCCCTTTTAGCCGAGTCTACTACTCGACTACGGGAGTGGGGGACTCGTGTTGGGATAATATGCCAGGCCCAGTGTCATCGGCCCGTTATCCCCGAGATTTGGCCCAACTAGGCCCAAGACGCAGTCTCACGAGCGGGAATCGCCCCTTGCTCATTTACTTATTTATCGGGCCGGTTTGCCCATTAGCTTGGACATGTGTTATGTATTTGGGCCAAGCCCACGTATGTTAGACTTTGGACTTGTGATGGATGCCTATAAATAGGCCATCACCCCCCATGTATTCGGTACGCTATTTTTACTATACTGAAATGCTGCTAGTTTCTCTACCCGAGATATTTTCTACCAACAGTATGTATATATATATATATATATATATATACATATATATATATAGATGAACAATCATTTGATAACTAGCTCAACTACTAGTAAAGACTCGTTCTCACGTTAAGACTCGTTCTCATTTGAACCAAAATCTATATATCTATATATATATATGTATATATATATATATATATATATATATATATATATATATATATACGGGAGTGATAATATTGTGTGGTATAAATTTGCTATGATTTTTTTACACAAATCATATGTTCTGTACCGGTTCTTAGGCGTAAATGCGTATTATGCATTAGATACTTATTCTTGTGTGTAATGTAATATACTAATTTAATTAAGTTGTGCGAATTTCTTATGAATTAGATATTTATTAGTTTTTAATTGTTGTGCGTCAGATATTAGTTCTTGTGCATTACATATCGGTAGAATTTGCATAACTTTATTGTGCGTTAGATATGAGTTTTTTGGGGAACTATTATTGAGTACGAGGTCATCTCATATGCATTAGATATCAGGGATTGTGTGTTTGATACATGTTCTTGTGCATCTAGTAGTCGAAGATGTTCGTTGTTCTTTATTGTATGCATCTTATACATATTTTTATTTTTTAAAAATTATATATGACATATTGGTGTCATATGAAAGAGCATGAGAAGTTATTTAATTTGGTATAATTTTTGTTTTAAAATCAAATTATTATTTGATAAGTGAAATCAATAGTACAATGTCAAACAAAGTGACATAATTGTAGGAATCCACTAAGGAAAGAAAGTGTCGGTTAGGGAAAATGCGTAAGAGGTTAAGAAATAATATTACATGAATGCCCTTGTTTATCATTTTTTAATAGCCGTTTAATATTTAAGGATGTATTAGTTTGTGGTTATCCACACAATGTTGAAGTGCACCATACAAGTTTTGAGCGTTAATTTCCATAGATCAACGATTCTGATGTGTTCTCATTTCTCACATTAAGCATTGTTCTCATTAGAACCACACCCTATATATATATATATATATATATATATATATATATATATATATATATATATATATATATATATATATATATATATATAAAATCTTTCACTGCAGGGGCACGGGCACCTCCAGGCTCTATGGTGGTTCCGCCCCTGCCTATGCGTAAAAGCGTAATTTTAACATTATCGGTAGACATTGTTCACTATTAATATATTAAATTAAATTGTTTCAGTAAAGTTGATGAAACTCGAATTTTTAAAATATTTATTTTGATAAGGTATAACTTAGTACTCCGTATTAACATGTAAAATTTACATATATAGAAATCTAATGTGATAAAAAAAGAAATTTACTTTATGGAAGTGCAAAACAAAATTAGAATATCACAACTTGGATGTTTTCTTTTGGACTGTTTTCAGTCCCAGACCAGATCAGACCAAACTTAACTTCCGTAGTTATAAAATACACAGAGACCAGACGTTTACCAGACTAGACCCTTTTTAAACTGTCTTGCTAAAGATCTGCAGCTGGAAATGATGGCACCTGCATAAGAAAAATCCTGAGTTGGAACATTCAGAAAATTACACCCATTGAGACAATCCATCTCCACCCGAATATTTGTCCAAGCTTCATTCTTCATCCACGAGAGGGCTTCTTTCACTGCCATTGCTTCAGCCGTGTGTGGGTCTATAGTATACCGAAGAGGGTCATTTTTAGCTGCAATAAAATCGTTAGTTATGGAACAAATAACCGCTCCAAAGTAAGCTTTCCCTGTCTGTGGGTCAACGGCAACATCCACGTGGCACACCACATTATTTTCTGGAATAGTATAAGCCATGAGTTGAAGTCGATCGGGCTCAGCTGCTGAATAGAGATTCTGAGTAGGAGAAGTCCAGTCATGTATAAGCTTTAAGGCCAAAAACTGTATTTCTGAGGAGCTAAGGCGTTTATCGTTCCAGATAAGCTCATTTCGAGCCTTCCAAACAGTCCACAAGAGAGCTGCAATTTTTTCTTATCTTCCTCCGTCCCTGATTTGATCCCAGATAGCCAAGAAAGAAAGATGGAATTTTGGTGAGGTTACAGTTCTTTGAAAGAATCTGACCACATAGTTTGTGTGATTGAGCAATCCAAAAATAAGTGTTGTATAGACTCTTCTCCACAGTTACAAAAGGGGCAAGTGTCATCAAGTTGAATACCTCTACTTCGTAGGGTACTCCGCACTGGAAGAACTAATCGAGCACACCAATTTTATTACAATAACAATAACAATTTTAAATTGAAGTAGTTTGTAATATTTCAAGCAGAATGTTACACCAACGTACAAAATAAATAAATAAATAAATAAATAAATAAGGTTACCTATTCATCGAGATTACACCCAAAGCCCATACGGGATCTCTTCTAAATTAAGCTCCAAATGATTTTTAACTTTAGTAGTTAGAGTATGTTTGACACAACTAGCTGAAAGATACTTTTGTAAGTGTTTAAATAATTGTTAACTTTTAGTGACTGTATGGTAAAAAGCTGACTGTTGGATTTAGATATGTTTGGTATACAAGCTATTAAGACAAATTGATACTAAAAGTCACAGACTTTTCTCGGATGCTACTCTATGTAGCATCTAAAAAAAGATCTTTTATATTTTGAAAAACTTTTAAAATTTGTCATGCCAAACATACAACTACAACTAGAAACTTTTAGAAACTTTTTAAACAGTACAAAAGCTAGAAAGAAAAAACTTATATCTGTCAAATATGCACTTAAACAAAGCGGGCGAGACTTAGGGAGTGTTTGCAATCACTTAAAAAAAGCACTTCTCAGCTTTTGGCTTAAAAAACACTTATTTATCAAACACTATCAATTTTTACTTTTTCTCGGCTTGCGTGTGAAAAGTGCTTTTCCCCTTTCTATTACACAAAAAGCACTTATTTTACCAAACACTATCAACTTTTACTTTTCAAAATCACTTTTTTCTCAAACACTATCAACTTTTCCTACTAATCACTTTTTCTTTACATGTCCACAAGTGTTTTTTAAGCAGAAGCAGTTGCAAACACTCCCTTAGTACTGAGACTAATTTTGGTAAGACATTTCTGCTTTAGTTGAGCTATTTTTTTTTTTAAATTTATACAATTGTTGTAGAGGTATCCCTACTCGGTTGAAGGGTTGTAAGTAGGACTTAAAATGAAATAAATAGAGTGAAATACAATGTTAACATTAGTAGTGATGGATAATTGAGTATCCAAATATATACGGAGTAGGGAATTTCTCGCTTCTCTCTAGGGCTTCGGCCGCTTGGAGTCTTTTTCCGTCTTCGATCTTAATCGAAGGACGGCCGCTTTTTCCGTCTTTGATTTTAATCGAAGGACGATCGCTTTTTCCGTCTTCGATTTTAATCGAAAGACGGTCCCTGTTGTTTGTGCTTCGTCTTCGGAGGGCGGATTTGCTGTCATGGCTTGAGGAGATCGGCGTTGTGGTCAAAGTTCGAGTATGAGGCGTTGCTGTCTTCCTTGGAGAAGATTGGCGCCGTCTATCCGTTTACTCTGGTCGCACGGAGCATGGATGAGTTTGGTTATGCAGGGACGGAGGACTGTTGCATGGTCTTTGGCAGCCAAAGGTCACGGAGGATCAACTAGCATGGTCCCGGTGGTACGACCTCCTCCTGAACCACCACCATGGGATGTACGAGGTGCTAGTATTCGTGAACGCTTTTCTTGTAGTTTTTATCTGTTTGTCATTTGTTTTCTTGTATCCACTTTTGTTGTTGGTTTTGACAGTTTGTTTGAGTTTTTTTACCTCTCTTTATGTCATTGGGTATGGTTGGATCTATGGGAACAGGTTTGGCTGTGTCAAGTTCATTACATGGTTAGCGATTCGTGTTGCTCTCTCAGGGGTGACCGTCTCAAAGTCTCACCATAGGGTTACAGTCGTAGTTTTTGGAGTTTCAGTTGGTGTCAGTTTTATTTTCCTTTTGCTTGATGTAACGATCCTGAATCTTTTGATATGAATAGAGGCCCGTTTGATGATAAAAAAAAATATACAGAGTAATTTAGAGAGCTATAGAGCTAGAATGGAGAAGATGATGAATAATAATAGACTTGGAAGATGAATGATCGAGGTTTACAAGTCTACCAAGAGGAGTTCATATAAAAAAGAGGCCAGACTGTTGATATATATGAGACCAAGGGCGGACCGTAGTAGAGATCCAGGGGCTATCGCCCTCCCAACAATATTTTTTTAATGTATATATACGAAAAATAATTTTCACCACCTCAAAAAATAATTTTCGCCCCGAAAAATTATTTTGAACCCCCAAAAAATGAATTTAATGGGTCCTGTATGAGACCAACATGCCCAAGTACATAAAGCTCGAAGCTCTCGTTACAATACAAGTATTGAAGCATCAAGCATCTACTAGAAGCATGAAACATGACATGATTTGATTTCTTTTCCAAACATGATGATGAAGCAGAAGAGCAACACTAATGTAAAGTCATTTTCTGTATGTAAACTCACTAGTTTGTTGCGTAGTAGGCTAGATATCCAGTTCTTCGTAGATATGAAGATCATTAGCTTACTGAAAGTGTCAAGTGTATGTCTTTTGATCTCAATCATCATATCTCTTTTTGAAGGCATGTGAAATTGTGAACCTCACAAACAATAAAATTAGGACTAAAATATTGCTTTTATCTTCTCATCCATTATTCACACGATTTCAAGAGGTGTACATATAATTGATGAATAAACAAATTGAACTCTGCTTGTTGTTTCAGTTACATTATGTCCTCCCAAAAGTTTGTTCTGTTTCCATACATTCGGAAATCGGAAGTCTACTTTCTCACATTTTCACAATATGGCCGTGATGGACTTTTGAAGTATACCCTTTGCATAACTAATCAAAAGGGTAACAGCCTCTCTGCAAAATAACGTTCCATGACTTATCAATAGTTTAAAACCAAAATATGAGAATTGATATTTCAATCCACTAAAACAATTCAAACTTTGAATTTTATTTGAAAATGCGTTGAGTGTCGAGCCAATTCATAAAACTCTACTTACATGAGCGAGCGAGGAGAACGGCCACCATTAAGGTAGTATATGTACAAGAATGCGTCCCGCTGACCGGCTTCGATCGGATAAAAAGAACACAATCTCCTTATACATTTAAATGACATTTTCTTGTAGAGCGAGATAGCCGGTGCATTGTCGGAAACCACATGAAGATAAACTGCTTTGCAAGTTTGCATGCTTGTGGCATAATCAATGACCAAACTGATTAGAGAAGTGGCTGAAATTTCAATTCCAGAGGACATCCATTAGTAAATACTTTTTGAGAATTGAGAGGGAAAAGTGTTCTTAAATGCATTGAGTAATATGTTCAGATTACTTTGGGACAGAACAAGAGTTTTACCAAAACAAATGCAATCCCAAATCAGGACTATATCAACAAAAGACAATCTCACCTATTCCAAGCTTTCTATAAGATTTTAAGACTCCAAGCGTTAAGATATAAACTACAGTCTCATTAGGCTTTGATGGATCAAACTTGACAAAATCATCTACCTGTACAAAGACCAGTGACAACAAATTAAGGGTTTATTTTAGTTTCCTAGACTAGACAAAAATCATCTAACGTGCATGAATTCAAGGAGGCCAACAAACCAACCTCGCTTCCTCTTGCAAAGACAACTTCTGTGGTAACAAATCCAATAAGTTCATCACTCTTACCATTGGTCCTATTGCAGTCAACAGCTCCCCAAGATACAATGCCATTACCTCCATTTACAATATCTTGGAAAAACTCAGGTTCGTACCTAGGACACCCGAATTATACACTTTTTCACTGATAGAACGAGAAGCCATCGTTAAAATGTGTAACTAGGGTGCACGCTCGGTATAAGAAACTAACAACCAACGCATACATGATACATGGCATGATCAATGGGGGACAATCCATTCCGTCGCTCACCCCAACTTTGGTAAAAACATTTATTTCAAAGTCCCCACGCAAAGAAAAAGTTTCCGATATAGAAGTAAAAATCATCAAATGTATACCTATATGAGTCCTTCCGAAAATAATGATTAATAGGCGTAATTTGCTCCTATAAAGAGAAAAAACTCGCATTCATAGTTCTTAGTAGAAAGAAACTTTGCTCTAAAGAGTAAGAACATAAACTTGTGAATTTTCCTATTGTTATACAGAGTAGTTCTATATGCAACAATTAAAACAAATATTTGTAATGCTCTATAGTAAGTTAGAGAAATATGTATATATTTTTTTATATATATCTTGACCACCCCAATTGAACTCATAATAAGTGATTGCAAACCTGAAAGGGAACAACTCTCCATGGATCTTCTCAAGAACTTTTAAATCAGATGGTCGTAAAGGTCTATACGATATGAAAGGATAATGAGACTCTATGACACTATTTAATGTTGAATCATCAAAGCCTTCCATTTGTTAGATAGGTTCTCTCTCCATAACTCCTCATATATAACCAAACTTCGAGCGAACAATCTATGTCTTCAATCAACAAAAATTCTCCCTAGTAGGCAAAAAATTATGTCCATCTACTTCATGTAATATAGTTTCCCTCTTATACGAATGCAAGTAAAGAATATTTGGAAGTTAAGAGTTCTTTTCTTATACATATACATCTATATTTATGATTGCTTTTTTATTTCAGGCCATCGAGTAATTCTTGTTGCGTTGTACATCAAGGAATACTGATCTTTACGTGTGGGATCGGAGGACACCAGTTATATTTTTTGGTTGACTTTTCTCTACATCTTGATTCAACAATTACTTCACGAACATTTAGCTAAACAAGTTTAATTTCATCGGAATTAGGCCACAAACACATGAGGTGCAGAAATATGGTAATTTCATTCTAGATTATGTCATACATACCGGTACTCTTTCTTTTAAAGCTAATTAAACAAAATTGTAACCAAAAAAAGGATAGTGAGAATATCCAAAAATGACAAAGCAAGTTATTTTTTAACAGCCTTATTGAAAACGATTTTTTAAAACTATCTATGTTATTTATACTAAATATATATATTAACTAAAGTGAGGTGGTAGGAAGTAATCTTCTCTCTAGGGTTTGCCTTCCTAGCCGTCTCTAGTGTAGTATCAGTTTTCCCGTCTCTTCCGCCTCGGCGTAGCAGCGCTTGCGAAGCAGGGACGAAGAATGTGGCGGTGGGGCGCGGATTCGAGGGCTGGTTTCGGAAACGCAGAAGCAGGGGATCGATCGAGGCGGCTTCGACTCTAGCATCGATCGGTGGGCTTGCGGCAGAGCTTGGGGCGGCAGGCTGATTACGCTACTCAACTGATGGAGGAAGTGCTGGACCAATATAAGAGGATGACTTTAGGAGGGGACAATAATAATCCCTACAGAGGAAACTTGGTAGAAAACAGGATGAATAAGAGGCAAGGTGAAGTAGATCGAAGCTACAGTACTGCTGGAGTGTCCCCCTCCTGAACCGCCGCCATGGAGTGCAGATTGGTCTAGGATTTGGAAGCACCTTTTTAATTTTACTTTTTCTTGCGATTTATTTTTCAAGTTCTGACGGTCTATTTTTCTGTTGGTTATTTTTATTATTGTAAGACTCTTGCATTAGGTTTGGGGATAAGAGTTCTGCAGTAACCATTATTGGCTCAATTATGCCCATTTTCGGATCAACGAGTTATATTGCTTTGTGAAAGGTGATTAACTCAGAGTCTGACCCAAGGGCGGATGGTTGCTTGTGATGCTTTTGTTATTTTAGCCCCTTTCTGGATGTTATGATTTTAATCTAAGCCACCTTCTTCCCAAAAAAACTATCTATGTCTATTTAGATATATTTTTTCTTTTTTCTTTTTTCTTTTCTACTCTAGGGGGTATGAGGGGACCTGGAGTAATCAGGGCCGAAACTCAGCCCATTGAGTTTCAAACCCTTATGTGCCTAGCGGGTTTCGAACTCGAGACCTCCTATTAGACACGATAATGTCACAACTAGCTGAGCTGAAATGCTTGGTTCTATTTCTATTTAGAATATAATAAACTTACTGAAATGGAGTTTGACTATTTTATACTCTTTATTTCTAACATATAACTGTGTAATTGCTCTCCTAGGTGTATGTTTAAAACTGTACGTCGTCATTATGGGGGTGTTTGGAACTGATTCTGCTTCTGCTTCTTTTTTTAAAAGCAGAAGCAGAATCAGAATCAGTTTTCAGAAGCTGCTACCCCCCAGCTTCTAAAAAACTGATTCTGAGAGTAAATTAGAGCTCCAGAAGTGCTTCTAGAATTTCACCCAAACACTCCAGCTTCTGCTTCTGCTCCCTGAAGGAGCAGAATCAGTTTTGAGAATCAGATCCAAACACCCCCTATATTTGTTAGGTTAATTTTGAACATTTTATTTTGGATTTTGATACACTTTTATAATGTAAGAATACACTTTTTGATGTTGACACATTATAGCAACCCTCTTTTATAAGAGTATTTCTTACTCTTATTTAACCAACTTTTCAAGTAATGATGTTTGACCGATTATATATATTTATAAATGGTAATATTGATAATATAAAAATGATATGAATTTTTTTTTGTTAAAAATACTATTATAAAAATATAATTTTTTTAAATTTCACATAAAAATACGGAGTAAGAATTAAAATAATGGATCAAAGTTTCCATCTTTATTTCAGATGCCTAATTAAATAAAAACGGTTGGAGGTAGTATTACTAGTATATCATAAGTTCTTTATATTTTGGATTTAAAAAGTGATCACATTCTTATATTTTTCCATATCAATGATAAATAAGATTAGTTCTCATTTTTATCTAAAATGCACCTTTTATTTGAACAAATTACACATACAAGTAGTACCTTGCTCTATAAAACATACCCTTTTTATTTTCCTTGGTCACTAAAGTTTGTGCTACGAACGTAGGGAGAGTGCGAATAATTCAAAGCTAAACTTCGGGTTAATTTCCCCCCTTGAGTTATTCATTAATCAATGATAGATATTTATACAAGTTAATCATACAATATTACAAACTAGGGTAAAATAAGTCTATACAAAATGCTACAAATAGGGCCGAGCCCATACACACAAATATACGGCCTAACATCCCCCCTCAAGTTGGAGCATGCAGATCAAAAATGCCCAACTTGCGAAGTAAGTAAAGTAATTGTTGTTTTCCCAAGGCTTTGGTAAAGATATCCGCGAGCTGATCAACAGTAGAGACATGACGGGCAATAAGCACACCAGACTGAATAGCATCACGAATATAATGACAATCCACCTCAGTATGCTTCGTGCGTTCATGAAAGACGGGAATATGTGCAATGTGTAAGGCAGAACGACTATCACACACGAGAGACATAAGGTGAGAGTGAGAAATGTCGAAATTGAGAAGAAGCTCTTTTATCCATTTTAGCTCTGCCGTGGTAGCCGCCATAGACCGGTATTCGGCTTCAGTAGAAGAATGAGAGACAGTATGCTGCTTCTTGGATTTCCAGGAGATAGGAGAATTACTCAAAAAGATTACCCAACCGGTAAGGGAACGACGAGTCAACGGACAACTGGCCCAATCCGAGTCACACCAGCTAGAAATAGTAAGATCACACGTAGAGCTAAGAAGAATGCCTTGGCCCGAAGTACCCTTGAGGTAACGCACCACCCGTAAAGCTGCCAGCCAATGATCTTGACGCGGAGCCTGCATAAACTGAGATAAAATATGAACAACACAGGCTAAATCTAGCCTGGTGAAAGAGAGATACAGCAGACGGCCAATTAGACGCCGATACCCCTCGGGATCAGCTAACAGTGTACTCTGAGAAAGAGCCAAAGCATGATTTTGCTCCATAGGAAATGCGGCAGGTTTTGCACCAAGAAGACCAGATTCGGAGATAATATCCAAAATATATTTTCGTTGACAAAGGAAGATGCCATCACCACTACGCGCCACCTCAATCCCAAGAAAGTATTTAAGAACACCAAGATCCTTCATGTGGAAGCAGTTATGCAGATAAGACTTAAACTGAGAGATAGCGCGAGAATTATTACCACCAATAATTAAATCATCAACATATATGAGCACATAAAGATGAATATCCCTTTGAGAGAACGTAAAAAGGGAGTAATCAGAATAAGATTGAATGAAACCATAAGTTTTCAAAGAAGTAGCCAATTTAGCAAACCAACAGCGAGGGGCCTGACGCAATTCATATAAAGATTTCTGCAAATGACAGACCTGTCCCGGCCGAGAAGGAGTGAAACCAGGTGGGGGCTTCATGTACACCTCTTCATGTAAATCACCATGTAGAAAGGCATTGTGAACATCCATCTGGTGAAGTTCCCAATTTTTGGCCGCGGCAACAGCTAAGAACATGCGAACAGTAACCATTTTGGCTATCGGGGCAAATGTCTCTGTATAATCAATGCCTTCCTGTTGATGATTTCCAAATACAACCAGCCGCGCCTTCAAGCGCTCAACTGTTCCATTAGAGTGATATTTAATTTTATACACCCACTTACACCCAAGAGCTTTCTTATCGGTTGGAAGAGATGCCATAACCCATGTATGATTGTTCTCGAGAGCCCGAATCTCACTCTGCATAGCCGCACGCCAGCCCGCATCAGACATGGCCTCCTTAAAAGACCTGGGTTGATGACCTGCAAGTAATGCTCCAAGAAACAACCGATGGCCAATAGAAAACTTGTCACATTTAATGTAATTAGCTATAGGATAAGGAGTACCTGAGGAGCTGACGGAGGGGGCAGTCAACGGGGACGGGCTCAAATTATGAATATGATGAGTGAAAAAATCCCGAAGTAGAACAGACGGACGTTTGGAACGTAAACTCCGTCCTAGAAGATGTGTGTCCATCTGGGCATCCTCTTGGGTTCCTGCGGCCGAGACAATGGGAGGGGACGATGGAACCTCCAAAGTGGTGTAAACTGGATCCGTGTCCAAAACAGGTTGTGTCGAAACAGTAGCATGCATGGGAGATTCCGGACAGGTAGAAGTCCGAGCCATAAATGGAAAAACATCTTCATGAAAGATCACATCTCGAGAGATAAAAATTTCACCCGTGTTCCAATCCAAAACTTTCCACCCCTTTTTCCCGTATGAATAACCAAGAAAAACACCACGCCGACTACGGGGAGAGAATTTATTAGCACGACACTGAACATTGTGAGCAAAACAGAGGCATCCAAAAACACACAAATGAGAGAAATCCGGGGGTACTCCATGAAGAAGCTCATAAGGCGTCTTTCCGTCCAAAATACCAGACGGTGTGCGGTTAATGAGATGAGCAGCAGCAAGTACACACTCACCCCAATACCGTATCGGTATATGAGCCTGAAATATCAACGCCCTGGCCACATTTAAAATGTGACGATGTTTGCGCTCTACTCTCCCATTTTGCTGGGGTGTGTGCACACAAGAGGTTTGAAAAATAATCCCATGAGCATCAAAATACGGAAGCGTGCATTTAAATTCAGTGCCATTATCACTACGCACAGTTTTGACAGACACAACAAACTGTTTCTCAACCATAGCAATAAACGAGAGAAAAAACTGATGAACCTTCTTCTTGTCACGTAATAAATAAACCCAAACAGCACGAGAAAAATCATCCACAAGAGTGAGAAAATAAATTGCATCACAAGTAGACGGGGTTTTATAAGGTCCCCACAAATCACAATGAATAAGTTCAATTATTCTACTAGCTTTATTAGCACTACTAGGAAACGAATCACGCACTTGCTTGGCCAACGGACACACTTCACAAGCTTTATTCAACTTTTTCTTAGAAGAACTAAAAACAAATGTAGGTAATAACTTGAGTACCCTATCAGAAGGATGACCCAGACGACGATGCCATAATTCAAACGGTGAAATTTCCACAGATGCCTGGACATGATGCACGACCGGTACCCTTCTGAAGTAAAAGAGCCCATCCCGTCGTTCACCGGCTCCAATCAGGTTCCTCGAGGTCAGGTCCTGTATAGCACAAAATTGATTAGTAAATGTGACAAGGCAATTAGTTTGATTTGTTAATTGGGAAACAGAAAGAAGATGACAACGAAGCCCCGGCGCATAAAGAACGTTGTCAAGAATAAGATTCGGGGCTAAAGTGACTCGGCCAGCCACAACCGCAGCCACCATACGCCCGTCTGGCAGTCCAACCGGGCACGAAGAAATAGTTCCGGGATCCGTGAGACAACTGGAGTCACCCGTAACATAATGTGAAGCTCCAGTGGCAATAATCCATTCTAAAGGGTAAGACATACCCGACATCCGATCACTAGGACGAGTATCTTTATTAATTAAATTTAGGAGCGCCTGCACCTACTCTGGGGTTATAGTAGCCAAACCAGTGTTGTTCCCTGCATTGGATGAGGACGAAGTGTCTACTGCCGGCAGTAAAGTAGATGCCACGGCGTGGGTGCGTGCCCCCCCTCCACGGGCAGCTGGTGCATTCTTGCCCCGGTTCTGTTCTTCCCACCAATCCGGGTATCCATGCAATTTAAAGCACGAGCCAATTTCATGACCACGCTGTTTGCAGTGAGTACACTGAGGCCTCGAACGATCCGATTTTTCTGAACGTTCTTTGGCAGTGCACTCGACCTGAAGAGCAAAAGCCTGAACGTCCCCAACGTGATTCTTTTCCCGGATGGCAGCTCGTGAGGTTTCTTCCTGGACAATGGCCTGAAGAGCGCGATCAACATTCGGCAATGGATCCTGCGAAAGCAAATTCGAACGAATAGTGCCATATAATTCATCATCAATCCCAACCAAAAATTGATGAAAACGTTCCTCTTGGCGTTCGGCTTCAATTTTACCGATGATATTGCACGTGCAATTAGTACACGTACAAACTGGCAATGGCTTTAATCGATACAGTTCGTCATAAAGGCTCATTAACGTCGTATAATAAACATCAACGCTCATGCTCTTAGTCTGTTTACAGGCCGAGATGGAGGCCCTCAACTGCTGCAGACGTGGACCGTTTGCTACACTAAACCGCTTCTCCAAATAGACCAAGAGTGATCGGGCTTCTTCGTGAAACGGCACCGAGGTCACGACGGATGGTTCCATACTACGTAAAAGCCATGACACTACCATGGAATTGGTAGTGTCCCAATCGGACTGCCTGGCTGCCTCTGCCGGTCGCTTGAGAGTCCCGTCAACAAAGACATTCTTCCGCCGAGCCTTCAGCGACAACAAGATTGAACGTGACCAAGCAACATAGTTGTCTCCTTTGAAAATAATATGGGTAATAAGGTTTCCCGGTTGATCTCCGGGGCCAAGGTAGTAGGGGGATGAAGGATCCACCATTGTTGTGTCTTGCTAAAGCACGCTGGTGCTTTGCAAGAAAAGAAAACCGAACGAAACAAATGCCCTAGGCGTTCGCTGGCTCTAATACCATGCTACGAACGTAGGGAGAGTGCGAATAATTCAAAGCTAAACTTCGGGTTAATTTCCCCCTTGTTATGTAATTATGGATGTCCATTAGTTCCTAGCATAGGCCCATATGTCCATTAGTTCCTAGCATAGGCCCATATGTCTTGGCCCATATCATGTTGTACCCTAGCTCCCCTCCCCTTATATATACACTATATGTGAATGAATAAAGTACTTCCATTTGGACTTATCACACGTTATCAGCACGAGGGCTCCCTTGGGCAAAACGTCTCTGCTTCACCAGCGAACTGCAACACCGGCCGCTACCACAACCCTTTTTGGTTTCAGCCGCACAGGGATTTGCCGCGAGACTCAATTGAGGCCGCCACACGCCATCAACATCAATCCGTGGAGTTCTCCTATCCGTCATCCATTGATCTGGGACCAAAATCTCAATCGCCGAGACGAATTAGGTGGCTTCGAACTAAAGCCTACACCTTCTCCGATCGACTTGGATGTTACGATATTGTGCAATCAGATTTCCGTCAAAGATAAGTTTCCTTTTATTCCTTTCATAGCATGATTTTACATTTTTACAACCATGTTTATTTCATTATTCTATATGCATGATGTGATAGCATATTATGCTTTGACTGAGTAATTTACTTGCATGTCAATCGCAAATGATGCATTACATGATTTGCTTTCACTGAGTGTAATTGTTTTTTTTCTTTCTCATTGATTACCTATTGATACTAAGTTGTGATGATTGGGTTAGTTTTTATTAAGCAACTATTAAATCAATTAAACATATCTGCAATATTCATGGTTATACGCTCATGATTAAGCGATTTCATGAATGTTACAAAACCCTTACGATGGCTTTATGATAATAATTTACAAAAGGTCTTCGTTCCTAAATAATTTCTTAAAGATTGTGAATCGGGATTGTAAAATTTAGACCCAACGTTTTATAAATTAAATACATAAAATGGATGTACTTAATTAAGGTTATACTCCGTATAAATTAAATCACTTTCAACATGAATTATTGATCATTCTGACCTAACTACAAGTATGCCAGGCCAGTTATATGCTCCTAATGTTTCTAAACTAAAATAATGTCTGTTAACCGCTGGATATTAATGTCTTCAACATTTTTTATGCTTGCATAGTATTTATTCAATTCAATTTTATAATGCTTTTATTTTTTATTTTTTATAAAAGGGACCACCTTTGAGTGAGAAACCCGTTTAGCGTTATTTATGAAGAAAAAATAACTGTTTTTTTTAAAAGGGGAAGTTAATGACATTTATTAACAAAATTCAGTTACATTGGGACATTTATTTATGCAATTAATGACATAAATTAAATTTAGAATAAAATATAATGGCAATAAACAGATTTGAAATTTAATAATGGTTCTCCATTTGTAATTGTTATTATAACTATTTTTCATTATTAATTACGTAGTACTATTTATGACATATTTTTCAAGAAAATGATTTTTGTTTCCAAAAACCAAGTAGTAACTGTGTTATTATTGAATAACCGAAAGTTAGTATTTATTTTGTGTTTATTCATTCACTAACCAAAAACGATTTGGAAATTCAAAATAATGTTGTAGCAGATGTGTTCAAACTCGAAAAAAAAAGGAGAATATACTCACGTCTTTGGAGGGTGGAAACAGATTGGATTTTAGTGGCTAAAGTTGACTAATTATATATAGAGCGGATTCATATATTGTTATTTACTTCTCCTGAGTTTTGCTACCAGTTCTATATGACTATATTGAAGAGCTCATTATATCAACTATCAAGTGTCTGGGAGTGTTTCTGAGGTTCTATAACAGACCTATTAATATTGTAATATATACTACTCCTTTTATTCAGTATTTGTCTAGCTACTTAAGTACCATTTGATGTAGATTAAAATATTTAGCTAATAACTTGTTGCTCCTGAAGTAGCTCAAATATTCTTAAATATTCTTTAAGATATTCATAAGATTTATCTTTAAAAACTGTTGCTCCTAAAGAAGCATAAATACTTTTATGTGAACTATACATATATTATGTATAGTGATTGATTAATATTGATCAAAAATAAAAAACTTTAATCGCAATATAATTATGAAAAAAATTATTCATGTATGCTAATTTAAACTAAGCATTGAGAAAAATGGACATGAAAGGAGAGGCCAGGTACGCTCTAATTTTTCCATTTATCATTAATATGGTCATTTTTTTTGAAAAAAAAAATAGAATTACATTTGTGTTTATGCGTATAATAAATTTGATTACTATATATTAATCATTGTTATTTTATGGTATATGTATATGTATATGTATAATTATACATATCAAATTCCTCTTCTATATGAAAAACTTTAACTCAATGTTATGTCATTAAAACTAGCCAGTTTAGAGAATGTGAAGTAAAGTTCAAATACACTTGAAGTGTATTCAATATCTCAATAACATATAGATATATAGTGATTAAATAGTAAATGCACTCAAGAGGAATAGAAAACATGAATAGACTTCAACTATATCCGAAATATAATTAAATATTGATGAACACATAAATAATGTCTAGAAAATAACAATTTAATGCAATTGTGTATAATGATTAGTTCAAGTTAATCTACTCGAGAGGTAGAAAACAAACAAAATTTCATAAATGGGTATATGAAATTATATCAAAGTGCCATAAGTCACTATAAGAGCATAGATTTGATGTACAAGTGGGTGTGTTGTGAACTTGAAGTTCCCCCATCGCTCACACATAAGATAGTGTGGACAATATGTTATTATATGCCAAGGTAAATTTTAAGAAATTCACTCAAATGAGTCGTTCAATACAAGTCTTTTAAATTAAGTGCTCTTAAACAAATTTGATTATTTAATAACTTTTATGTTACTTCAATAGTAGCAGCATTATCTAATCGCTAGACTCTATATAGATTCCTAGCTGAGTCATTCGTATTATTTCTGTGAACGTAAGAAATCACTATATGAATGATTATTTTAGAGACATATTATTTTGGTCTTAGGCATGATATAATGCCTGAAGCATATATACTTGTGGCATAGAGCTTGATATGTATTAATTTTTGCTAGAGTTATACACTTTAGAAATTTAATCCTATTGTAAGGATAAAAAGTAATGGAAGCACAAATTATATTTATAAACAAGTTGGGCACATAAATTATAATGATAAAATCTCAGGCATCGAGCGTAAGCTCAAAGAAGCTACTCAAACACTACGAAGTAATAGTTTGAAAAGTGATATCATACTTATTGGGTGATAGTTTGAGACCATACCAACACAGTGTAAATTGTGTTTCCATAATATCTGCCTGTAGCAGAATTATCCTCATACTATACTATGTATACTTGAATAGTTTAAACATGTGTTGCATTAAGTTTAAGATTTTTGAAAAATGACCAATTTATGGTCAACCCAGGTTTAGATCAAATGCCGTATAAGACATCCAATGTATACATACTTCTTAGATAAGTAAATGACAAGACCGTCTATTCTCCCAATATTGTAAAATTGGATCCATGGGAGTTAAGTGAACTTGAAGTTTCACATTGTGGGTTAATAATATTAAATTTGGTCTCAAGAATATGCTCTATTGAAATGTTGATATGTAATGAGTGGTATAAAACCACTTTGCCGGCTTTTATTATATATAGTGAAGAGCATAATGTAACCCACATAATATATCTAGCATTATAAGATGAATGTTTTGCCTGAGATAAAAGTGCTAGAAAGTTGCCTAAATATATTAATAAAATTTAGTTTATATTAATTCGGCATTTGTTAGTAACTAGTCCCCAAAAAGTTTACACGTTGAAATGAGCCAAAGTGTGCAAATGTTAAAACCCCATTTTTGAAATGATGTTCATGAACCCCGGAAGTGGCTCCATATGTATGTAAATCCTTGTTTAAGAATATTATGGCACATTTCCCGATATTAGGGGGAGATTATAAAGGCATGAGCATAATTATATTTTAGAATGTCGGGAAAATATCCTAGTAGGATTGAATGATATGAAAAGAGAAACGTGTAAAATAATATTATAAGTAAACTGCCAAAGTGACTGAAAGAAATGATTATAAAGTTTGAGCTCAACCAATGCATGAAGCATGGTTAGACGGTCATTATGTGTATATAAAATAAAAACCGGTTTTTATTACAATAAGTCACATATACCTCTACAAGAGGATGATATAAGTTAAATGCTGCAGCTGATACGTATTAGAAACTACATGATACAGAACATGGGTTCCTCTTTTATGACTCATATAGAGGACTTTGATGAAACAGGAATCATATTGATTAAGATTGACGTCAAAGATTTATTTTCCGAAACCATCGATTCATAACCCATAATAATAAAGTCTGGCCAGACGAAATGTGATGGACCTGTAGTCCTAAAACTTTGTGTGTTATGATCGATGTTTATGGATGAGAAGATATTTTGGGCCTGAAGTCCCACAAATCAAGATATTGTGTATGTGGGGTGCCAATATTTGAGATTGAATTATTTTGAGATTACATTCCTGTTATGGTTTGAAGTTCTGTAAATGTGGCAGTTAATGAGTGAATCGGATGTCATTGTTATAATATCAATTGTGTGTCCCTGAAGGACAATGGTGAAAAAAAAAATATGTACACACAACATGCAACATGAATATGAATTCTTTTATGTCTATAATAATTAGATATAGACATTATGTGTTTCATTATAGACTCATCATTATTGTATTTGGAATTATTTTGGAAGAGAATTTGGAATTGATTGAATAACTGCAACAATTGGAAATGCAGTAAAATTCTAAGCATAGTTGGAAATATAGAAAGAGATGCTTGTGCCTAACCACAACCTGGGTGATCACAGTAAGTCTTGATGACATGATTTATTTTGTAGAAGAACTATGCTTGATTATCATGGTGCAAACTATTTTATTTAATACCATAATTGAACAAGGTCTTCGCACCATATGAAAATATCACTTGTAGTGAGTACCTCCTGTAGAGGATCTAATGTGAACAATTTTCTTATGTGTTTCACATGATTTTATTACTAGGATTTAAACTAAATTTAAGTGAACTATATTCATACTATTTCTTAATCTTTCTTGCAGAAAGAGTTGATTGAGGGAAACTTTATGCAATGAATTTGCAATTACTCATAAACCTTCTATTTGTTTACCTGAAGTAAACATATATTATTCTATTATATATGAATACAATTGTATAAATAAAGGTGTTGGTGTCTTTTAAGCATCTATTCAAACCTAGAAACAACACATGACAATCTTTTGATTTTAAATATCTAGTCATTACATTGTGAACACCTAAAGTGTTTGTATACTAATTTCAAATCTTAGGAGGATCAAAACATGCCCCTTTTAAATCTTTATGGGCCAATATTTGAGAATACTGAATTATTAATTATTTGATGTGCATATGACCATTAACACTAAATTTGATGGTCTTGAGATACACATTGCAAAATCATGAGTTTAGACAATTGTTTTTGCTTAGAAACTCTTGAAGAGTTTGGTTACTGATACCCATCAAATCTGTATACATTATGATGGAGGTTTTGTATACTAAAGATTGTCAATAGTTCAAATTATATGGAGTGGATTGAGGTGAAACAATTAATTGGTCCAGAAGACCATGTGATATTCCTTTTTTAGCCAAGTTTTTCCCGAAGGATTTTCTTGACCAAAGGTTTTAAGTTATTTTGTGATTTTAAAGAATGAGAGAGATTCATAACGTCCGGAAGACTATTATCCTCTAGAAGAGTGATTCTAATATTAATTCGGAAGATAGTACCCTGAAGGTCCTAATTGGTCCTTGTGAGATCGAATAATTTATTGGTCCAGAAGACCATATGCAACTGTACTCTTTTTCCTTAACCAAGTTTTGTCCCATAGGGTTTTCTTGGTCAAAGGTTTTAACGAGGCAGTTTGTGACTTTGAAATAACATATTATGATTTATAATATTCGGAGTATTGTTTTTCTCTAGAAGAATAAATTCAAATGCAATCCAGAAGATTAGGCCCCGAAGGCCAATGACTGTACTCTTTTCCTTTACTAAGTTTTTCCCGCATGGTTTTCTTAGTTAAAGGTTTTTAACGAGGCAATCAATACAACACATCGTTTTACATATATTATGTACTCTTTTCCTTGATTGGTTTTTTCCCAAAGGGTTTTTCCAACAAGGTTTTTAACGAGGCATACATGCACATAGTACGATAATTCATTCGAGAAATTAGCAACCGGATTGGATTGAATTGGATTCAACAAGAAGACCTGAAGTGATGCAGTCAACATGGGGAGTATACGCGCTGCACTCTTTTTCCCTTGACCAAGGTTTTTCCCACTGGGTTTTCCTCGGCAAGGTTTTTAACGAGACAGCATCATCAATGCGTGTAAAGAGAATAATGTATATTTTTCTTGTAATGTTTTTATTTAGCAATGTACATCCAAGGGGGAGTGTTATGTAATTATGGATGTCCATTAGTTCCTAGCATAGGCCCATATGTCCATTAGTTCCTAGCATAGGCCCATATGTCTTGGCCCATATCATGTTGTACCCTAGCTCCCCTCCCCTTATATATACACTATATGTGAATGAATAAAGTACTTCCATTTGGACTTATCACACCCCTTAAGTTATTCATTAATCAATGATAGATATTTATACAAGTTAATCATACAAACTAGGGTAAAATAAGTCTATACAATATGCTACAAATAGGGCCGAGCCCATACACACAAATATGCGGCCTAACAGTTTGAGTTTATTTTTTACATCTGAATTAATATGAACTCTATATGACCTAATATGAACTCTATTAATATTATATAACTTCAATTAATACATGATTTTGTTTTAGAATAGATAACTTAATTAATAATCAAACTGAGGACCGGATACAAAATCGCCATAACAAAGGCTACACAGGGATGAGACTCAAATACAACACTTGCGGATTCACCGGAAATACAACCAATCACATCATACCGGCCTGCACCTACTAGTGAAATGAACATAAATAATACGGATTATATTTATTGTAATGTTGCAATGAAATTAATATTATTGTAACAGTACACCGAGATGGAAAAAAAATGTACCATCACTTGAATGTGGAAAGTGTTGTTACATTTATATATGAATAAATTCGTGATGTTTTAACAATTTACCGGTATGATCCACAAATAATAATGTGTACATTAACCAATTTTCTGGCCTTCGGCAGGTGTACGCACCATTGCACCAATCACCAATGCACCATACCCAGTATTTATTAAGCTTAGAGCAAACTCAAATTCAGACCTATACAAATTTTAAAATGATGAATTATGAAAAATATATTTATATGCTAAAAATACTAAAAAGCTCATTCGAAATTATTAGCTAAGGAATCGAATTACTGATGCATATTCATCGCTTGCGCACTGTAAAAGAAAACGAGTCCAAGGGGTAGGTTTTTTCATAATCGATTACGATGTGAAAAATCCATTATGATGTCAACCACAACGTCCTTGGTTTGATTGTGTTTCTCTTCCCCTCTTTCCAAATTAGGTCATTCTTGGTGTATGTAAAATGTATACTCAAATTGTAGGTAGATTACCCATTTAAACCGATATTTTGACATAAAATTTTGTTCTTTTTCAAAAAACTGTTTGTGTACATAGAAAATATACACCTGGTATTTTTTCTTCCAATGGGCCATTCTTGAGACAGACACCAACTCATCCACCAAACTATGTCTATCTTTTGGGGGGCCTTGGCCCCTCCCCACATTTATATATTTTTTTAATTATTAATAATTTCTTTTAGCCCCACTCCTATGGGTGGACTCGGGCCGGGTGGCCCGCCCCCGAACCGGTTACTGTTTGAACCGGCCCGAGATATCCCTATAAATTAAATAATCTCAGCTTTTAATTTTTACGCTTAATTTCTATTTAAAATTAAATTTTTATAGGAGGTAATATTTGGTCATGGACCATTATTGGCGGACGGTCCATATAGTTGGGATTATACAAAAATAATCAATAGTTGGGATTATTATCAGTGGACCGGTTATAGTTGGGATTATTATTTTCAATTTTTACTCTCTAAATTGGTTTTAGAGCTGTTTTGAATACTTAGTTGTTATATTGACATTACTTCCATTCAATTAATCATCATTACATGCATCTTTACTTTCAAACACACTTAGAAAGTGTTATCCCGGCCCCTCGAAGCTGTCATTCCTATCTTGTATATAGATATAATGGTCCCTCTAATAGGCAGTTCGGTGTGTTTTACAATATATGAGTTGCTATCACAATACTCATTTTGACTACTCTTAATGCTCAGTTGAATACATCTGATACTCATTAAAAGTGTATTAATGCTCATCTAAAAAACCGCGATTTTCAATAAAATTACGAAAATGCCACCATTTTTAATTGTTATATAAGCTTTCTTGTAATAACACAATGCTCATTACTCGACGCTTAGTACTCATTAAAATTTGACAATTGCTCATTCACAATACACTAATGCTCATTTTTAAGACACTAGAGAATTCAACTGCGCTTTTGAACTATTCGATGCTCATTTTGTAAGTTACGTGTGCTCATCTAGTATTGATTTTATGCTCATTTTAAATTTTCATATCAATGAATATTTCAAAAATATCATATTACGTTAGATTCGAATGAGAGTTGATTGCATGCTTCTATTACTCAATAGAGGAAGTTTGATGCTCAATAAAAATGTCTTAATGCTCAGATAACAAAACTTATATTTTCATATCAAAGCTCATTTTGTAAGTTATATATGTTCATTCAGTACTAAAGTTATGCTCATTTTAAAATATCATATCAATGTTAATTTGCTCATATGATACTTTTGAAATATGCATTGATATGACATTTTAATAATGAGCATGACGTCAGTACTAAATAAGCACACATAACTTACAAAGTGCACATTGATATGAAAATAGCAAGATTTGTTAGTTGAATATCACGACATTTTAATTGAGCATCAAATATCCGCTATTGAGATGAAAATCACGGTTTCTGGTGAATGAGCATTATATTAATGAACTTTTAATAAGCATCAGACCTATTATGTTGAGTATTAGAAGTCTAATATTCAGAATCGTGATCTCTGCTTCATAACTTCTAATTGACTTTCTTTTTGTTATTTTTCCTTTTATAAAAACTTATTAAATTGTATTTCTAATCAACTCCTATGAATTTCAATATGTGAACCTAATGTAAAATAGTACTTTAAAGCAAATGCATTGTTATGACATTTAGAAAGTGAGCATAAGATTAGTACGGGATGAACATACATAACTTACAAAATGTTCGTTGATATGAATATATTGCAAAGTTTGTTAGTTTGACATAACAACATATTCATTGAGCATCAAACCTCATATATTGAAATGAAAATCACAGTTTCTGTTAAATGAGCATTAATGAACTTTTAATGTGCATCAGACCTATTATGAGCATTAAAACACTTTTGATGAGCATCGGACTTATTAGGAACCCAACAATATATAACAAAATTATAAATATATTTACATAAATTAATAGTATGATTCCTAGATCAAATAAATACTTCAAAAACATGAATTAGTCTTTTAATATAGTAATAATGAGCAAAAGCAAAGAATAGTTAATATTATAATTACAATTAACAAACAATTGTAGTACAAAGTATGAAAATATGTAGGGTAGTACAGAGTATGAAAATATGTAGGATAAAGAAGCTAAAAGAACAGATTATATCAACAAAGTAAGTTGGCAAGATGGTTGAATTTTGGGCTTTTGAAGCATGGGCCTATGGTTTAGTAACTCAATTAAATTTGGGCTGAATGTGTGTACACCTGGTGGTATGATATACGGACTCCGGATATTTGGCATGACTGGCTTCCCAAACAAGTTTGGCTCGAACAGAGGCTCGGTCTAGCTAAAACCCAGTGTTATTACTGCCTTGGCTAGGTGAAATCCGAGCCAATTAGTTTGACTCAACAATCCCGAGAAAAAATATGAGCCATTTAGCTCATACAACTTGCCAAGCCAAAATTCAGCCAAATTTTCATGTGTTGTGACATGGACACGTCCGAGCTAAAATTCACCGAGCAAAAAGCCGCGCCAAAACCAAACCAGAAACAGCGAACAACATATCCGTGTCAAGGGCCGAGTCTTAACTTGCAGGCTTAAATTCCGGTATTTTCCGATTTGAATTTATCTATTTTTATTTACTTTTAAAGTTTTCTTTAAACTAATTTTTATTAATATCATTATTCTATTATCTTAAAAAAATAGTTTTAAGTTTTTTTTAACTATATTTTTATATATTTAATTATTTTTTTCTTCTTATTATAATGTAAAATATGATTATCCTATTAACTTATGGTAAGGGTAAAAATGTAGAACAAGAAGATAGACCGTACTTTAGTCCTATTTTGGAAAGACAAATAACATAGTCCTATTTATGCATTTAGAGATTAGTTTGGTCCTATTTTGGAGCTATTTTCTCAAAAGTATATTAGTGGTGAAATAAAGGTAAGAAAAAGAAAAATGAAATAAACAAGTGTAAGTAAAAAGAAAGTAAAGTAAAAAGGTAGTATGTTGAGAAAAAGATCTTTTAATTATAAGAAGGAAACTAATCCTAAAAAATATAAAAATGAAAAGGAAAGAATAAACGGGAAGAAGAAAAAGAAGGAAAAATGGAATACATAAACATTGAAAAAAATTGAAAAGAAATAAAAATAAGAAGATCAAAAAGGGGAATAAAAGAGACAAGATGATAAAGATAAAAAGGGAAAAGTTTTAGGGTTAAAAAAGAAAAATGATATATGGGACTGCTTGAATAAAAAACGCACGGATGGCAAGTTGCACATATTTTTTAATTTGTTAATGTATTTTAAATTTTAGTCTTTTTTAAAAAAAATCTTTTTCAAATAAAATTTAAATATTGTGATGGATTGTCTACCCGGGGGGTATCCTATCCGAGGGGTTATTGCGGGAATAACTAGAGAGAAGTCAGAGCAAAATAGGAGGAGAGAGAGTCGATTTATTAAATGAACTCAGCGTGTGGAGTTGGATCGTTTACAAGGAGAAATGGGCTGCTGTTTATAGCAGCAATAAATGCGATGAGAGTACACGTGTCAGTAATCCAACGGCCGAAGGGTCACATCAGCCGGTTGGCACCGGCAGTGGTACGTTTACCGCATTGAATGCGGTTGGCGGATGTGACGTGGTATTAAATGCGGTGGTTGGCTGTCTCCAAAAGGAATCTTCGATGATTGAGCTAGTTCAGCCGAAGGCTCCTTGTGTAGCCGAGGGCTCCATGTGGCAAGGACCCCTGTGTAGCCGAAGGCCTCGTGTGACCGAAGGCTTTGTTCAGCCGAAGGCTTCTCTGATGCCGAGGGCTTGACAATGCCGAAGGCTCATGTTTTTTGCCGTTTTCTCCCAGTAGCTTCTTATGCCAGAGAAGGCTATCCTGTGAGTTTTGGAGCCTTCGGCCAAGGAGGCCGAAGGCACCCCAGTATGTATTTTGGGCTATTTTGGGGCTTGGGCCGTTGCATTTGGGCCTGAGTTGTTCTCTGGGCTCAACGGACTTGTGTAGGAGAAGTAGGA